AATGTAGACTTCCTTACTTTTGAGATGAACGTACTTGGCACCGCTGAAGATGAGAAGTAAAAGAGGGCTAGTTACTAAGGAGCAAATAGCATGCTGGCAATATTCTAGGGATTTTTGGTTTCTTCCCAGCTATGGTTTTTATATAAAATAACTAAGAGACTGCCTATTCCAATGGTAAATAATAAATATTATTATTATGACTATTCTATAAACAAACAACATTGCATGTTCATATCACATTGTTTATACTGTAATTGAGATTGTTTTAATGTATATCAGCATGTGACACGCCTAGCTGTAGGTAGAACATGCTTATATATAGCTTATATATAACCACCTGGAAATCAATAATATACATTATTTAAATTTTTTCTTGTAACGGATACCAGAGGTTGGCAGTCCCGAGCGATATGTGCAGCCAATCAGGTTAGTTGGGCTGTTATTTTGGTTAGTTGCAAAAAGGTATTTGCAATTTTGAAAACAAAAAATGGAAAGATCTATCGCCAAAAGAATCATGGCTCAGGTAGGAGAAACATGCGTCCTCTCTAATCCCAATTAATAATGCTTTGTTTTTGAAGAAACTTGTGGATTTAGAGATGAGCAAATCAAACACCAGCCGAAAGAGTGTGGATATCCAAAAAGCTTTGGCTGAGCTCAGGGAGGTCACTGTACATCCTAGATATACATCACTGATCCAAGTTGTGGATCTCCTCTACATGGATGCATTATTGTCAACCTCTGATTTTATGATGAAACACCAAGATTACAAAATCGTTGTGTCCCAGTCTCAGGCTTTCAATCATCTGCGGTATCTGCAGGATGGTATGAACAGACATTTATTGTGGTACAGTACACCTTGCTTAATACTGTGTGGTTTCAGAGTTCCAAAAAACTGAGGAGAATACTGACAATGCAATTGTTCAGATAAAAAAGCGTTTAAAGTTAATGGAGGAACTGGATGGACCAATAATGCAAGTCATGGACAATGCAGTTCTTGTGCAGAGAGGAGAGCATGTTGAGATCATCGAAACCGACAATAAGCCAATCAAAAGAGAGAGAGTGGCTCGTTTCAGGACATCAGCTGAAAGAGATGAATATATCAAAACCCTTAAGTGTAAGACAACTGAGCAGTAGCTTAACTATTCACTATTTTCAGGTTCAGAATGCCAATTATTTTTCTTATTTTAATAAACTTTTGGTAGTTAAATTGATTTTTTTTTTGTTCAAACAGTATATTCTAATGAACTTCTTGATTAGTTTTCAGAAAAGCTTTGACATGGAACAGATACAAAGTTTTAAATAACCTGATGCTGGTAATTTGTATACAAACATTTATATCCAACTCAATCTAATCTTCTCGTTTCAGAGTTAAATGTCTCTATCCTTTGATTTTTTTGTTGTCTACAGCCTAGATGTCGGTGACAAATTTGAATCAACCAATTGGTATTTCTAAATGTGTAATGCTCAAAAAAAATTCGAAAAATTACAAAAAAAAAAATAATAATAATTCAATCAATTTATATACATACATATTCTAATATTAAAAGGCATACAAAGTATGCAAGTCGAGCCGTTTGAATGGAGATACAAAAGTGTGTTTTAGATGCTTTAGACCAAAGTGATTATGCAATAACGTTGTGCGGAAGTACCTGTTTAACGCCAAACTCTATATTTTTTTTTATATAATAAGCCTTTTAATATGTATTTAGTTTTCATTCAAAGTATGTCCATTTTTTCTCCTTTAATTTATTATTATTTAATTATTTTGTATGTATAATTGTTCGATTAAGCGAGAACAGTTCACTGTGCAACTGCGATGCGTCTCTCTTAAAAGTAATATCAAAGACTTCTATATATTTTGTATCATTTATTTTATAAGTATCTTTTATATTCTACGTAAATGTTTAAGAAAATATCATACTACATGTTTATAGGCGTTTGTGTAATATAAGCTGATATGTAACAAATTTTAGTTGTTATTTATTTTTACTACATTCATTTTGTACTAATTTAAAGTTGACTATAAGAAAATAACCAATAGCATAATGTCAACCCGTATATAAACTAATATATTAATATAAAGTTATTTTAGTGCTATTAGTTCCAGCTCTGTATTTATTGATCGATTAACAACTTCGCTAATCTCCACAAACATTCTGTGTGACTGGTTTTTATTTTATTGATCTGTTCAGGAAAAAAATATATAATATCAAAATAAAAAGTCTTTATTAAATGTTTCTTTTTATATATATATAAAAATTGCCGAGTTACAAATCCTTCTCATGTTTAGTAGTACAATATACACGTTATATATATACTTATATAAAATATAATCAGAGCTGAAACATCACTGGTTTTCAATCCTAATAATCTTACTAACAATATATAAGTTACAAAAGTTATGTATTTTTCTTTATTACAGTAAAAAAAAAGAAGTGCACACCGCAAGTGCAGCTATATTAATAGCCAATTAACATATGTATCAGTAACAAATAAAATATTTTTTTTATCGAACAGAGAACAATGAAAGTGACCGAAGAATAACTTACTAACTATACATAATAAATTTCATAAAAATAATAAAAAACATATATATTAAGCGTAAGACAAAACAAATATTAATGTTTATTCGTTAGAGATGTAAATCGAAACAGTGGAAAACATCATTTCATAAAATATCAAAATAATAATATTCTTTTATCTCATTTAAATAACGACGTTTTTAATAATAATTATATAATGAAAACTTAACTTTCGGGAGTCAGCGAGTTGGTTCTGCATTGAGAACATTATGCTTTTTAAATCTTTCATTATTATATAAATGGGAACAGTGGAAAACATATTTCATAAAATATCAAAAATAATATTATTTTTATCTCATTTAAATAACGACGTTTTTTTTAATAATAATATAGTCAAAACTTAACTTTCGGAGCCAGCGAGTTCAGAGGAGATCCACATTATAAATAGGACATTCTTAACCATAAATAATTGAGGGAACAAGTACTTATCTACACATTAATTACACTTAGTTTAAATGGTTAAAGAGATCACAGATAAATATGAAGGATATTTGATGTGATCTATGATTATTTGGAGAAAAAAAAAATATTATAAAAGAGGCGTTTGTCATTGAATAAACTATGAATTTTTAAAACAATGAAAGTGGCAAATGTCGAAAAGGGTAGCGTTATCACATGGAATTTTTACTACAGGTGGGTGGGGTCATTTAAATCGTTCATTTACGCAGTTTCTTCGGAACAGAAATGTTAAATTTGTGACTGGCAGAGTCGTTGTGTATGCTTGAAAGTATATCGTCGAACGTGACAGTTGTCTTTTGTGCCAGTTTGAAAATATTCACTTTTCCACCTTCATAATCAGCGTCTGTGGGGTGCAAGGGTGGTGGTGCATCCGGGTCGGCAATCCTCTCTAAACTTGGCGTTAACTCGTACATGACTACACTATGTCCCTTCTCGGGATTCTCATCTTTGCAGCTTTCGTATTCAGTGTCACCTAGATCAGTCTTTACTTTCTTAATATATACTTTTTCAACGTTTAGACCGCACCATTGCAATCGCACGAGAACCGATTTCTCGAACATGTCCAAATTTATTAAATGCGTTTGGATGGAGTGATTCTCATTGAACACTATATTTGGCACGTTCTTTCGAAGGAAGCGTAAGCTGCCTTCCAATCTCTCATCATCTATGAATGGTACGACGGAAACAAGCCGGGGATCGTAGGTCTTCTGAATTATGTGATGGAATACCGCCATATAAGAAACGCATGGCTTCAGCTGCTTCCATCTCAACCCGGACACGGAGAGCGCTGTGTGTTTGCCGAAGATGAAGAACATCGCACCGGCAGCAATGGTACTATAGCTGAATTTCAAATAACCGGGGTCCATTGTGAACAGATCTATCAGATGCGAAGCTTCCACGAACTTGTAACCTGAATACTGTGGATATTGGAAGTTCGCATCTACAGCCAACGATATGCTACGGTCCTTGAATTTTTCAGAGTTAATGTGAATTTGCATATACAGATTCAACCAACCAGTTGGCGTCATTGGATTCACTTCCCAAGTTAATATGTTTAATAAAAGCACCTCGCAGGCTAATATTTCTTTCTCGGTGCAGGCACCATCGCAAACATACGAGAATTCTGAGAGTTTAGGTGGATATATTTCTTCGAGTTTAGCCGAAATAAACAAGCACGAAACTCCAAGTAATTGCAGTTGCGTTTTTGGAACGTTAGGTCTTATTGTCAAGTATCTGTCAATGTAATCCACAGATAAATAATATGTATTTCTTCGCAGGTGGTACACTTCGCAAACTTCCATGATCCAATCAAGCAGAATAGCTCTCATTCTTGGAAGATAAGCAGACCTGTCATTAAAAATACTATAACTTCTGTTTTTGAGGGTGGCCTCCTCCTTGTACACTATATTCTGCCACACCTCTTCATTGTCAGCCCAAGTGAGCAAGGGCAGGGGAGTTTTGCGGAGCTTCTTTGGAGTGGTCTCCAAATCAACAACTTCATTATCCTCTACTGGAGAGGTTCTTGATCTTGGAGTCTTATATATGGACACCTTGGTGGAACAACTTGCAGTCTGAGAGCACAATGTATATATTAGAATCACAGCTTGGCAATGGGAAAATGATTTTTGCTTACCTGTCCATCATCTGCAGGAGATTCCTTGGGACTGACTGTATCAGCAGGATCAACCTCAGAGAAGGCATTCATCCATTCCAAATATTCTTTACTTCTTACATCCACATCAGGGCATTCATCTGGGCTTGTTGAGTCTCCACTATCAGATCTAAACCCACTTGATGAAGGTCCACCCTCCATGTTATCTATACAAAGAATTGAGAATGGTAGAGAGAATAGCTTACATATGCAATTTTAATTGAAAACGCAACAGGTAACTGGTTAGTCCACTGATTACAGAGTTAGGTTAAGGCGCTAAAATACCTGTCAATTTCAATGGAATATGCAATAGATTGCATTTTTATGACTTCCAGCAATTTCGCGAATGTTTAGGAACGATCTTGGTAATCATATAAGCTACAATTAGGCGGAGTGCTGGCTCCGAATTAGCGGCAAAAACGTACTGTTGCAGGTTAGGATGAGACCGTCCTAAGATTAGTTTATGTGGTCTGGTCTTAAGTGGGACCTCGAATTTAAAGATTAAATGGTCTCTGGCGAAGAAAATGTGATAGCTTTTGGAGTTTATTTTTAACTAATAACGGCGCTCGGGGACGTCCTAAGTGGTATATAAATGTTCTTTCTTTGTTGTACTTTTATTACTTACGTTTGTAGGGTTGACTTTCATTAATAAAAGGGAAACTATTTAACTTCTAATCCCTTCGGTCGGGCACTTTTCCACACTTCTCCCTTGGACATGCAAATGTAAATTCTGGTATGAGGCTTCGTTCACTTGTAACAGTAAATGAGTCCATAGAGGCTAATTTTCCCGCACAGAACGAAGGGCGCGCATGCGCGTCCACAATTTGCCGCCAATTGCTGGTCCGAACGCTAACCGCTATTGGCCGACCTGTGACGTTTGTAAACAAAACAGCTGTCGCCGTTCGAAAATTCCCGCCATTCCGCAACAGGTTTTTAAATCATTATGTAATCACGTGCCACACTCCGTGCATGCATTGGCAGACACATAATAACACAACCACTCACGCATTCTTACAAACCGCGCGACGTGTTCAATGCCCACGAATGAATAACAATTCATTGACTGCAATTATGTAAACAACTACTTTATTTATTTCATTTTCAAAATGACTATCTAACTTTGATTGCCTCCCATAAAATTTTCAAATAAATATTCCGGTTAATCATTTAACCGGTATATTTAATGTTCTGCTGAAAACGAACAGGAAGGTAAATAAAGTACAACAAAACAGATATAGATTAATCAGTCTGAACACAAATATACATTATATGTGGAAAGACTTTAAGATATATATTACTTAAAATAATAAACATTACAATTTACACATATACATATATATATATAAATAAATATATTTAACTATTTAAAATTATCTATAATAAATTTTAAAATATCTATATAATCACAAGTAGGATACAGACCTTAAACAGACTCTTTACAATAAACTTTATTTCATCTAATGTTCTATATATTAGGTTTGTGAAGACTAGTTTTTGACTGCTATAAATATTTTATATTATATATTATTTTATATGTTTTAAAAATAAACATTTAAAGATAAATAAATTCCGGCAAAGTAGAAAATAGTAATATTAAATATTTTAATAAAATGAAATAATAATAACTACCGAAAAAAATGCAATGCAATGCAATTTCTATCATTAAATAAGATATTTCTCTCGTATACACAAATATACTATAAACTAAATATTAACATATTATTTAGTCATCTTCTTTGTCGTCCTTTCCTATATGGTAAATCAAACAAGATATAATTAAAAATACGCACGATTCAATATATATATTAAACTTACGTTTCGGGGTATTAGAATCAGCTGAGATCGGCATTGGTTCACTCTGTAGCATGGCCTGGACGAATTCGTTGGGTAGTTCAGGAATAACTGGGCGTATTATAAGGCCTTTCTTTGACGCTTTAAATTTTTTGATTTTACTTTTCATACACGGAAGTGGTCGCAACTGCATAGGCTCATTTAATATTCCGGGATTGCTTTGCCTTTTAAGATTCTTGATTTCTCTTTTAAGTTTGTGATGAATTCGGGATGGTCCTGCTTCGGACATAATATTAGATGGACCTGGAGCATTTATAGAGGAAGGGTCGCAGTGCAGTGGTGTTGGTAACTCCATCTGCGAACGATCTGTAATCGTATTCAGAGGCAGCTTTCCAGGCGGAAATCTAGCAATTGGGTCGATGTAATCAACTTCTGTACCAAAATCCGTATGCCCGAATCGACACGGTATATTCTTCCGTTTTTTCATCTTTGGTATTGCTGGCTTCTTGAATACCTTGTCATCATCGGTTGTAGGGTTTACCGGCACATTCGGAGCAAAAACGGATTCTAGCGAAGTGTTGGGCGGCTCAGATTTATCATCATCAAATTGGATTCGACTATCCTGACGCATATGACGATATTGATTGATTATTCCCCATTCGTTTTCATTAAGTTGCTCCTTGCATATCACTTCAAACATCTTTTTGTGGTATGGCATTTTCTGCCTTGTTATATAATACGAAAATGCGTAAAATATAATGATTACCAAAATCATCGCCTCCATAATTACAAAATGCGACAACGACTGCCCTATATCCTTCCACGAACCTTCATTTCGTATGCGAAGGATAAAATTGATCACCATCTGGTCACAGTATAGCAATAAAATTTTAAAAGTAGATACCGAATTTGCTTTGGTTAACAAATTCACCGTGTGGAAAGCGCAGGTTATGATAAAAAAGGGAATAACCATTTTTAAAATAATTAATAGGCACATCAATATGGGGTTGAATGTACTAACGTAAGCACGTGTCCACATAGGATCAAAACCATTAACACTAGCTATATTTCCAATAGCAAAGTAATATCCGATTACTAAAGATAACTGTAAATAACCCAAAATGTATTTAAACAAATATCATATTGCTTTATAACTTACATATATAAAGGTTTTTCTGAAATCAGATAATCTCGTCGAAGTTTTAAGGTCATGTAAGGCATTATAGTAAATATAATTTAGATTGTAATAACTATTATAAATAGTTCCTTCAATTCTAATCCACAAGTAGAGAGTTCCAACTATGACGGTATAAACGAATAAATCTATATTCACAGACATTAATGTCAGTGGAACAATTAGACATGACGCAATTTGACCGAAACGTCCATAAATGGTTGTTGGGGATAGAAATATCGATACCAGGGCCAACACTAAAAACGAAAATTGTGTAACTTTGATAATATTTCAAAACAAATATATATATAGTTACCAGTCATGATCCATGAAATAGATTTATTCATCATGAAAACACCATTTTCATTAATAAAACTATTCGCAATATATATAGAATTGCAGACGGATAGTGTAAACAGAAGCAACGGTATGTTTATTAAAGCTTTCCAAAAGAAAGTTCTCTTGTAATGGCTTGCTTCCACAAACTCACGTAATTTGCTCCTGATCACGTTTAGGTAAAATAGTAACCAAACACAAACACCGAGTCCACTAAAGAATTATAAATGAATTAATTGTTGGTCAGTAATTAAAATAAGTGTCACTTACAATCCGATATAAGTAAAATTAGTAGTTGTAGGATAATACAGCAAGGCAATAAGAATGGCACAGCATGCCATCCACAAAATTTTCACGTGTCTATTTATGTTGACGAAAAACATCCACAGAAATAATATACCAAAAATCACGGCACAATATATCTTATTAAAAAAACTTTTGACCTAAAACAATAATAAAAAAAGTTATAAAAGCCAATAATATGATAGCAAATTATATTTACCAAGAATTGTATCATAAGTGAGGATATTAAGAAAATCATAAAGTCTCGAGTTTTCTTGTTGAAATTCGTAGATATCAACTTTCCCATCAAATCGTCATTGCTACATGCAGTTATAATCACTATAGCCGGGAATAATGCATAAATATATGCAGTGTAAGAACTGTTCAGATCTAAATTTTTTTAAACAAATTAATATTAAGTTTAAAAAATAAATAATAAACTACTTACTATACAGGAACGATATAATAATTAGCATAACTGATGCGAGTATTTTAAAAATTTGAGATTCCAAATTTGAGATATATTCTTGAATATATCGTCTATTTCTTGGTGGATCCAAAGTTGAAACTAATAGCGCTACCATCCAACTAATAAAACCGGACATAATGCATACCATTTTTGGTATATAATAATAATTGCTCAAGTATGTTATGCCGTGTTTAAGGTCTTCGATCAACTTATGGCATTTCATTATAACCATATCGGTTTTACCATTTTCGAGTAACAGTTTTAAGTTTGCAATCTGACTTTCGACAGTGTTACCCTCAGTAAACGATAAAAATTCTTTAAACAATAATGTATTCTCGAACGTTTTACACAAAATTAAGTATTGCTCGGATATTTGCTTTACGTTGACAAGAAGCGCTTGAGCTATTTCTACAGCTGATCCATCTAATAATTGTTCCTGAAGTACACCTACTGAATTTATGGGTATGGGAGCACCAATAAGTGTGGCAATCAATGGAGCTAAGTCAGCTTGTTCCATGTCGTGAGGGTTGCTACTCCCTTTAATGCCTTTTCCCCATACAATATAAGGTACCTTGGTCTCATGATCTGATCCATCACCATGACTTCCCCAATTCGTCATACCATGGTCTGAAGTAAAGATGTACACTGTCGCGTTATCCCCATAAAACTTGTCCACTGCTTCTACCGTAGCGTGTATTCCTTTGTCCACCGCAATTAAATTGTTAAAATACTCTCTGAAAAAAACATAATATTAGTAATCAACAATTGTACTAATAAAATTCTTAAATACTTTGAGTTTGGCTTATGTATATGACCTGCGGAGTCCATGCCTAAAAGGTGTAAGAAGAAGAAGTTTCCTTCTTCACATAGTTCACTGCAGGTTGCCTTACAATTATTTTTTAACACAGTCATATGTGCAAACATGTCTATTTCAGCTGCCATCAGTGGTACCAGAACTTTGTTTAACTTTGACAAACAAAGATTTTCTTCATGAGGACAAAGTTCTCCCTGGCAACCTTTATTATCAGAGATGCATTGCTCTCTTAATACTGAGTATTGTTGCTTTTCATACTGTATGGTCTTTAGTTTTTGCTCCAATTTTATTATATCAGCAAGACAAGGGTGATGTTGTGTCATTAACTTTTTCATTTGATCAAATACCCAAGTATCCAAGTTTATTGTTGAACTCCTCCCTGAAAAATCTTCATCTTCTGGATTATAAGAAGCAACGTGCAGTTTGCATGTATCTGAAAAATATAAATATAATTCTCACATCTTATTTAAAAAAAATATATTAAAGTATTACCTAATTTAGGAAATATATTAACTATATCAGGACTTCCCAGTGCCCAGACATAGTTACTTTGATTTATTATCGAGTCAAAACTCACTAAATTTGCTTTCCACCCTGTAAATATAGCACTTGGGTCTTCATAAAGTCCAGCAAGAATTGCCACATGTCCAGGCCTTGATTCAGTTGGCACTCTGGTGTTAATGACTCCGAAAGCACCAGTCCCATTGCAAAGTTGACTAAAATTTCAAATAAAATTTTATCTAATACTAAAATTCTATATGGTATTTACCTTAAGTAAGGAGTCCTATGATTCTTCGAGTTAAAAAACGTTTCAGCACGCAAGCCATCAGCAACAAACAGCACAGCTCTTTGAGCAAAGGGTTTATCTGATTTGTATGGTGTCATTCCTGTATTTACAGGTGATTTAAAGTATAGGTCTAAAATAAGACCTAATACTGTGAGATGGATGAGGATTCCACCAATCCATAGCTTAGTGAAACTCCTGCTTTCTTGTTTCTGAAACATTGAATAGAAAAAATATGAATCACCAATACACACAGGTACTATTATCACTTTACCATTTCAAATTATCTATCATCACAGAGATAGGAGATATGTTTGATTTGGATCACATACTTATTAAATACTGTTTACATCGTTTATCTATTTCAATTTATAAGAGATGTCGTCATAAATGTTAATCATTATTGATGATTGTTTTAAATCCTACAGCACAATTAATTCCAAGTGAAATCAAGACAAATCGTGATAAATGGCCGATCTAATGAATATTTTGCTACATAAAGTTTACAACTTTAATGTTGTATAAATTCACTAGAGGTCGTGATGTAACGCAATCCATCATGACGTAACACCTGCTAAAACCCACGCATCACAGCCACTGTCATTACTGATCTTCAACTATTCATAATTGCTATATTAAATCATACAAATTGAATACTATAACCATTTAAATTGGGTAAACTTACTCCATTCTATATTTAAACTTGTAATAGTATGTAAAGTAATATAGTAAATTATAAATAATATCTAGAGTATCTTTAGAGTTTTATAATGTACATTGTAGTAACTTCTTCCATATTACTTATTTGTTTATAAAGCTTCATTGTTTATTTTTATTAAATAATGTATTATTATTGAATAAAATGTTTCTACTTTACGTTCTTGGTACTTGTAATAAAAGCGTGTAAGTATATTAAAGTTAATGTCGTTGCTCTTGCTCTTGCACTTGAATACCAATAAATAGTAAACAGATCGTTTCAAATTGTTGCAAAGAATTGTATAATATAGTTGTATAACAAATCCAGATGGAGCTACTACAGAAGGACTTTTATCCTCTGGTTAAAATATAGGTTTAATATAGAAGGTTTCAAACAGATGGGGCGTCGGGAAGTTGTTGGCACGCGTTTCCATAGTTTGAAAATAACACAAATACACAACTGTGGAGTATGAGTGGGGCTTGAGGCTTCCAGAGTCAGTAGCGGTAGAGGCCAAACAAGTCGGGACGGTTTTGAGCAAGATTGTAATATAAAGAAAAAAGCAAGTTAAATAGTCGAACAATCGATTTTTCGACTGCCATCGCTGAAATAACACGTCTGTGCGTGAATCCGATTGGGAAAAAAATTTGGTGAAGAGCACCTTTCGCGTTCTATTTATTACATACACACGGATATAAGAGTGTGTATATATATATATATACATACACATTTATACGTACAGACAGACATCGGCAACATATACACACGATTTTTTCTTTTCTTCCCCGTTGTTTGCTCTCGCTTCAAAGAATTCCATGAAAATGTGAAAGTAGTTATTTTTATTCTGAAAGACACTTTTAGATCGGTTTTGTGCACTGTGCGATTTTCGATTTCCCATAAGTTCCATAAATACCGGTCCCCAGTTATGGATGAGAACGAGCAAGAAATTAAATCGCCCATCAAGCGGCTGGGATCCACAAGGAAACTGCTAGTCTTTAACAGTAAGTCGTCTTGCATATTGTACCGAACATTCTTATAGCACGTACTGTTGATACCCTAGTGGTTGTTATATGCGAGGAAAGGAAATTCACTTGTTTACATTTGCCGCTAAATTATATAACAGTGTTTGGAAGAGAAGGATCTAACCGTTCGTTCGAAAGAGAAGGAAGCTGAGATAATCGAAAGTTTTTCGGGTTTGTTGTTCTTGTGGTACGCAGGTGCACGTACCACAATGGGTACTTCTCGGTAGTAGCCGTATTTTTCCTCTTTGCAGACGATGGTGAAATGGAGGGACCTTTTTTGAATGGTAAAGATTTATGAAGCGCGCGACAATGACAATGTATGCGGTGGTATATTCTCGTGTGAATAGGATCGCAGTAGTACCGTGGGAAAATACGATTATTGGGTGTGCAATCGGGATGCATTTCCATCCGTCCAATCTTATTGTCGGCTAGGCCTGGCATTTGAATCTTGACTCAGCGTGTTCGTTTTTCATGCTGTGGCTTTGTCATGCGATACTTTTCTCCCCATCGTTGTAGCAAACATATGGCTTTGGAATTTTTCAGAGGACCCTAAACTAAAATGCACGAATAAAACGAATGCAAGAGAAATAGAAGGAAGACCAGATAAAAAGAATGATGTAAAATTCAACGGTTTACAACTTTTTTTTAAACTTGTTTACTAAATGATATGAAACAGATTGGATGACTCTTGTATATTTATATTGCATTTTTTTATTCGTTTATAAAATTGCTGGTTGCTATTTTTTCGCTGTTGCGCTTTGTTTAATTACATCCGTACGTGCTTATCACGACGTTCCTGTTATGGTTATCATAGAAAGCTCACCTTGTACAAAACCATTTATTAACCTACATACATAGAAGTCCCTATTGTAATTATTGAAAGCCGGCGATAAACAGTCGTAGTATTACGCATATTTGGCACTACACTAATTAATGCTCTTAACTAAATTCAACCTTTCTCCATACCAGAATATTCATATTCCTAGAGATAATCCTAATATTTTAATTATTAATTACATATATTGTACTAAAGTTTGTATCTGAAGACTTTTTATCGCCGGCTTATTATTCTAATGTTTTACCTATGCTTTTGTTGTATTCAAAATAAATGTATCTATACATTATTATAATAATGACAATGTTAATTCAATATAATAATTTTAGATAACTCAACAAAATGATGTAACTTCAATAATTTATAATTATAACCGATATAATTTTAAACGTGATAAGATGTTATTCTTTCTTATCGAAAATAAAAAGTAACGGTCGAAGCATTACGTTGCTAAAAAAAAAAGAAAGTAAATATGCTATAGATATAAATTGAACGCAAAAGTTTTAAATGAAGGAATTACAAGTTTAAAAGGAGTATCAGAACAGCTGCATTGAAAAAATAAATCGCGTCTAAAATTATATCCACTGCAATTAATTTCGGAGCAGCTTCTCTTTTGCAACCTGCGTTATTTCGGATTGGTCCCAACCTCATATGCTTCGGTTGATAATGCACGATACTCCAAATCCCCCTCAATCATAAATTATCTGTGGGGGTTGATGAGTAAAACGAATGGTCCTGCAATAACAAATGGCCTACAGCAACGATGAGACCAAAAAGAAAGAGATAGGCAAAGAGCGGTCGATGATAAGATTCTAAGAACGATAAACTTACTTCCGACTGTAGTTTTCGGGTTAATGTGTTTTTTTTTTATCTGAGGATTATTTTCGTTAAGCTTTCTTTCTTCAGATATAATCTCGGCGCGGAAAGTTTTCTAAATGGATTTTCTTTAAGACCGGATAGTTTTAGTCTTCTTTTATTTTGTGGATGCATTGTGTATAGGATTCTTTTAGAAACTGGAAAAGAGATGTTTTGGTGAGATACTTTGTTCAAGACAATTTTATGGTCCAGGTAGGAACACGAATTGAAAATAAGCGTACCGTTTTGCTCGAGGAGATCGGAACGCACCGATAAATTGCTGCCAGAGTTCTTAAAGTCTAGGTTTTGTAGCTGTTTGATGTAAACATCTCGCGAAGATCAATACGCGGTTTCATTGAGTGTATTGTATTTTCTGTACTCCTCCCGGTTAGGTTTCATTGTCCCCGATCGAAAAACAGGATGTCTGAATGCTGAATGTATGTAACGAAGTTTATAATTAGTAAATTGTGTGTGAGTAATTTTTGTTTCCTCTTTGGTGCGGGAGTGGAGGTTGTTGGAGGGAGGAAGAGAGAATCGGGTTTTCGGAGATGCTCAACAGACGCGCGGCGCGGTACTTTATAAACACTAGGAGGAGCCGGTTTCCTGAGAGACAGACATGCTATGGCTATTGCTATCGCATTATGGTTGCTGCACGCTCCGCGGATTTAGAGGACTTAACTTCCATTAGGCCCTATTGTCTTTCATTGGTGTAGGTAGTGGTATGGGGATCACTCTTATTTAGAGATGACCGGTCTGGTATGGTCTGCTCTGGCGTAATTCGTGACCGCCTGACGGTCTGTTACTTTATATGCATTAGCATGTGCGACCCCACATCTACTCTGATTGTAGGAAATGATTATTAAAACCGTCAAAGCTTGAATTATGCTCCCTTTCGCGTTCGTCGCGACTGGATGTGGTTTTCCTTCTTCATCTCCTATTTGTTTGTTCTTTTCCTATTTGTTTGTTTCGTGCCAGTTGAAATTGGCGCGTCCGCGAGTCCGCATCGCTATGTCCCGCGATTTGCACAAACCGATCGGTGCAACAGCAAAGCCTTGGAACACCCTCAAAGAAGGTACAGAATTGAAAACAAATTATAATCTACATCCGTGTTCATAATATAATGAACAAACAAACAAAAAATACTTCCGAAGTATAATCATCATTCTTTTAGAAAGAAGCATAGTTCTCGAATACGGAGAATGCATGTACAAATGTTGGTAGTTCAATGCATGCACAACACACGGGGTTCCCATTTTCCTCCTTTCTATTCTTGCATCCATCAGGCGCCATTTTACTGTCGCCGTATTGTATTTCGTTCGCCGTTGTTGCGGTTTGGGCAAGGTTCAAGTGATTCAAATTAATACCAATCCGTAACTACTATTACGCATTAAGCAAAGCGACTTAAAAAACTCAAATTTCAAACTAAACTTTACTTTAGGAATGCACATATCAATATGCATTCCTCTCGAGCGATTCAAGGACCTCGAACTTGTTTATATATGTAAAATACGAAGAAAGACATGAAGAAATTGGAAAGGATTTTTATTTTATTTTTTTCGAATTATTCTAATCAACCGAATATATTAAATTCTACATATAAAATGAATTGATTATTTAATTATCAGATTTATATAAAATAACGCATTTCTGGAATTAGAATATTTCCATTTTTGGTTTTGTGCTGCCGCAAGGAAGTTTATCTTGGGCGGCGATATCCTGCGGTCAGGACGACGGGGATAAATGAATCTTGTGTGTAAATTTTCATTTACTGTTAGGTAAGGTTTGTTTGCTCGCGTTTTCCTCTCCATCACTCGCCGTTGTTGTTGTTGTTGTTGTTTTTCGAGTTCTGTTTGTTCGTTAGTTTGCTCATTTACTTCTACTCACGATTAATTCATGCCATAACGTAATCATATTAACATATTAGCGTATACAACTGCACCAAAACGGAAAGCTAATTTACTGCACCTGCAACATCCTTGCACACATAACAATTACGATTCGCACCAATTGGATCAAGAATGAAACATAAATCCACAATATATATTTTTTTTTATCATATTCATATTTGATCAGTGAAAATAATTCAAGTTAAAAATTAATAAAAGTAATCGAAAGATGTTGTAAGATGAAAATAGCTAAGAGAAATAAAATTTTATTTACTGGGAAGATCCATGATTGTACGTAATTGTTAGAGGACAACGAAGTTGGAAGTAATCAGGGCGAGCTCGTTAATAACGTGAATTCATGAAGTTGCGAGATAATTAAAATTAATCTTCTGGTGGAGCGCAGGAGTGTAAATTCTCGTTTCGAGCTGCAACGCTATTAAACTTCCTCGATTGCGAAACGGAGGATAATGAAAATACAGAGAGAAAAATGTAATTGAAGGCATGCAACATTTCATCAAAACCCTATGTACTTATACTTATTTGTATCACCGTTTCCTTTTCGATTTGCGACGAATCGGATTATATTTTGTGTAATAGGTTTTATCGAGGTAGAAAGTTCATCTCTGAAGGCGGATAAGGCCGTCTGGTTTCTGCTGTTGCAAATTTACGATTACGATTTGCTACGCGATGTGAATTATGGAAGACGCCAGGGATAGAGTATAGGATTGGATAGTGAGTGCATGGAGTAAGAGGGAGGGAGGAATGTTTCATATTTATCAATTTACGATAGGGAATTGGGGTTTTCGGTACGAATTCGTGATTGCGTTCCATTATTCACGCCCGTAATTGCGTTTCCACGTACTAACCAACTTTGTTTGCATTTGGAGAGAGAAATTCAGTTCCTCGAACGCATTCAAACAATTGCTCTCGTTTCTAGATTTGTCTTGATTATGTGCTCATCCTACTTAATTTGGCATCAACTTTATGGTTCGATAATTATACCTAATACATTTTCTATCAATTTTCAATAGTTACGATTTCCATTTGGCTCTAAAATAAATTGAATTAAAATAAATTATTAACAACGTTCTAAATGTTACATTTATGTGATCAAATCTGTTAGGATACACCTTGCCTGTAGTAGTGACCTTCAATACTGGAACGCTTGTATTTTGGCCCGGCTCGACCGGTTAGGTTAATTCGATAGGTGAACATACGCTCGGAGATAAATGGAATCGGATAATAAAGAGAAAAAAAAATGTAAACGAAAAAGCAGAAGAAACGACAAGAGAATAAGAAAGAGTACAGAAGAGGGGAATTGTAGAAGGAACCGCAACAAAATTGGCATCGACAGTTTAAATATTTGCGCGAAAAGTGTAAACACGTAAACATCCATGGCCGCGGAATAGTTTATCTTCGTCGGCGACAAAATTAAACCGCGGCTTTATTAAGATTACGAATACAAATATTTTATTCTGTTTGTTATCGAAACAAATCCCCGGCCGTAATATTTACAAGCAAAACGTAACGCTTGCAATTTGCCACTTTCTAATTGAGTACCGCTCCGTTAATCACCCAGTTTCGACGGTATTTCCATCACCTACCATTATATTATTATTATATTGCACTCCTTCGAAGAACATTACTTAGTTTTTCTTTATCTCTTGCGTAACTTAGAAATAATCCATGTAAAGACCATCTCAAAGTGCATTATCACAAAAACTTATTATTATACTGCACTTCTTTGAAGATCATTATTTTGTATAGTTTGATTCTTGTTAAACTAAGAAATGTTTAGAACTTTTCGAAGTGATTGTAAAAAATAACCAATTTCGAAGATTTTAGAAGTTTTTTTTTAATCTATAAAATTTTGTATCAAAATGTAGAAAAATATCAAGGTTGAATGTATCATTGTAAAATCCAAGTAGAATTGTTTGTTCACGATCGGAAATTCAACTGCATTTTTGTTACGTATTTCACCTAGCAATGGCAGAGCGGAAAGGGATCAAAGATCGTTGCCCCTTCGGGATTACGCGATGGATCCAATAATCCAGAGATGCAGTTACGTAACGCAGAATTTAAGCGATCCGAAATTACTTCGCGAACTGTAATCGCCGTACATCGAAGGCGGCGATACAGAAGTTTTGCTATAGTTTACGAGTATATATATATATATATTTTTATTCCCTACTGAAATGCGGGATCGATACTTCGTTTTCTAAAGAAGTTTCGCAGCGTCGTCCTTTCTTTTGCACCAATTCAGGCTAATTCCTTGAGAATAGTCCTTCTTTTTTCAATCTACCTTCGGATCATTCAATTAATGTAAATCAACAAATCTAAAAGAAGCTTGTGGATCGATCGATCAAATAAATTATTTGGTAATTTGAATTGCAATCAGTGTAGTCACTTACTTAGCATATAATTGTACGTGGTTGAATTGCAAAACTAATTAGGTGTCTCGATTGTAATTCATTGATGGTTATTCGTTAATTAAACGTAATTACTACGCTACTAAATCCGATTGATAGCGTGACATTTAAACGTTCCACCATTTGGGTGAACGTCGAAAGTGAAACTAATTTTATAACGCTTATTTATATTTTTGTTTTGAACTGATGCCATTCCGAATCTGCTGTGGTCGATGTGAAAACGATACTAATTTGTAATAATTTCACGAAACCGTACACCCTGAATCGATAACGTTAATCTAAGCTTCGAGTTACATTCACAACAAAACCATTCACTATATTATTTATTGATGTGACACACACACAAATCTGTCGTTAGATTCATAATAGTCATCCGTAACGATTAACTTGAGCTGCTGATAAGTAGACTTCTCTGCTGTTGATTCTCTTCTCTCGGTTACACACACACACATATATCAATTTGTCTCCTTTTTTTTTATTTCTTTTCTTTCTTTATCTTGACTTCGTGCTTCAATAGGAAAACAACGATTTCATTCATAAATTGCGAACACACAGACGTTTAATTATATATAAACTTCTTTCTGGTCTTGGCCCGATAATACAATGAAATTCCGAAATGAAATTATAAAAATAAAACATGATCACACATTTCTTTCCACTTCATACTTTGTCCGCTTTATGCGGTGAGACGAGTTTCAATACTGCGGTTATTTTCTTTTCTTTTCTTTTTTCTGGTTGTCTCTGTAATGCCGTTAACGAATTTTCCAGTGGACACGAATCAAGTATTGACCACAATCAATAAAACGGTAATAAAATGATTTTGATCAAAGTGTTGATGTAATTACATTAACGATGAAAATAATTCATAAACAAAGTTGAAAGTCGAAAAGTGATTATTTTATTAAGAAATTTTAAATTGATTTAAAGATAAAAAATAATCATGCTGTATTGCTCTTTGGTTAAGGGTGGAATATACTTTAATTCTAATAATATTTTGCGGTTATAAAAATCCACTATACAATAGATGCATATCCGTTGACCTTGAGTTATTATTTAATGCGATTTATATAATATGCTTTGTTGTTAATCAGTGAATTGTATTATTGTTTGCTACTGCACATGCACTATATAATGATTGATTCATTTACATTTACGCCTATTATTTAAATTTAACTCTTTGTTTCAACGAAGTTTACTATCTTGATCCCATTTAATTAGTTATTTAATATTTAGTCTACTGGTTTAAAATACTAACTATAAATTTCTTATTCTATGGAACTAAAGGAATCACAATGATCCATTCTAATTATACGCGATTCCTCTCATTATATAATATATGTACAGGCTTGGTTAACTATTGTTCTCGGCACTTCCTGTCCTTTGCTACTTCCGTGCATTTCTTATTACTATTTAGATTATTTCTACGATAAATCGATAAATACCTTTTAGTGTTCGGAATAAGTGGAAAATTTAAGGATTACAAGTAGCTATTGTCTTAAATTTAATACCGCTTTACGCAAAGATAGTAAAAATCGCGAGATATAACGTTAAAACTGCTCAAAGTGCTTTTGGAAACGATCCAACTTAATGTTGTTTTGCCAATTCTAAAAGAACTATCTTTGTGTAAAGCAGATATAAGTATGATGATTATCGCTTCTATGCGTGTTTTCCTGCATTGTCGTTGTATCAAAACATAATATTATCTATTTGTGTAAGAAATTTACTATAATTTAACTAATAATGATAGAATTACCATTAATGATGGAATTTATCTTGAAACCTTGAAGTGAAGAAATAAAAAAAAAAACAGGAGAAACCCTAATTCCAAGAAACTATTAGACTGGCTATTATTTAAATTCTCGACTAATTCTCACACTTGAAGGTATTTAAATAGTATAGAAATGGAACGGCTTGTTTCACACAATTTATGTATAAAGATAAAATTTGATCGTAGCACAGCTGTCAATAAATATTATCGATTTAATGAGCATCATTTAATTGATCATCCCCAGCTCGGATCGGAGGTGTCATCATTGAATATCCGTTTCGCGTCAACTGGACGTAATCAGTTAATTAACTGTATGCAGAGAGCATAGAATTTGGTTGGTGATTCAATAACAAATAATAAAGGGACGAGCGCTGATATCTCCGCGATGATGTAATTCGAATTGAGTCGCGGCGATGCTCATTAAGCTGGAGGTTAATGAATGCGATAGGCGTCGGATTTAACCGGTGGAGGAGACGCCGCCCCGCGTATACCACCGGACCGGTTATATAAAACGCGACGTGTATTACGTTACAGATAGACGTTGCATGTCGCCGTCTTCTCCTTTTCGTTGGCTGCTGATGCTGGCCTGTTCATCTCATTCTGTTGATTTTTTTTGTTTGTTTCGCCGCCCCCCCGCTCATCGCATCACACCACCGCCGCCGACAACCATCATCGAACTTTCGGATTCCGGTTGGAAAATCGATACGATTAATGATCTCTGCATCCCGTATTTCCTGCTCCCAGTGGACGGAATCAACGCTGCTGTTGATGATGATGAGGATGGTGTGGTGCATGTTGTTGAGAGTGCGATCGCCTGCATTTGTGGGTGCAGGGATCGATGGACGATGACCTTCCGGTGGCGAAGACGAAGAAGTTTTATCGTGAGAGAGAGAGAGAAAGGTTCTCGTTCTCGACCGAAGGTGGTGGTGGTGCATTTCGTTAGAAGGGCCAAGGGGCTCCGAAGCCCGCCACCGGAGGCGCAGGCGCCTCTACCATACTACAGAATATATATATATATACATACATACATAGGCTTGTATATAGATATATATGTTTGTATATATATATTATCATCTCTCTTTTCCCCACTTCGTCTACCCATTGAACGTGGGGGCCCCCAATACCTTACCAAAGAGTACCCAGTCGGAACGGGACAGGACGGCACTGGCCACACAAGCCATAACACGTTAAACGCCGGTTGACTGAGAGCACAGAACCATCCGGCTGCTGGCTAGGTACACTGTACACAGCGCTTTTATATTTAGATACCCACGTGCGCGAGAACCCCTTACGTTCGGTGTGTATATTTATATATTTTTATACTTTCGTGAAGGAAATTGCCAGAATAGTTGAAAACAAAAAAAAAAAACAAAAATTAAAAGTCAAAATAAAGTAACACGGTTTAAAACAAAGAAGTGCGCGCTGCAGTACCACCGAAGTGTTGTTGTTATTGTTGTTGCCGTTCGCTATTTGTTATTTATTGTTTGCGTCTTCTCCGAAGACGGCTCAGGACTAGCATCTTCGTGGTGTAGTAGTAATGCCAGTGCCCTAGTGCGCAGCATCCTCCTGAGATGTTCCAGTGCATCATCCAACAAAGAAACGGATGGATCCATCCGCACAACACGGAAACCAAAGATGTATTTCCAGGTCTGAAGCTATCCCACCCCAAAAATCCAAAACATACGTGCATCCAATCTAAATCTCTGCAGCTGAGACAAAACTTACGCGCTCCGCTTTACTCTTTCTTCGTTTACGGTACATTCATAAGTCTTTATTTTCATTTTGTTTTAATTGTCACGGCTGCAGAGTTGAATGCCTCTTTGGCCGTCGCGAACCGTGCATTTTGCTGATAAAACAATACCACCTCGCCCACGCGGCTCAATCTAATCCCAAGCACATTCCACCTTATCGCCGGTGGTACCCGTTGTGCAAATACAAGCATACACAATCATATAATAATATATCCACGATGGTAAATGTCGGTATCCGCAATGTAATAATAGAGCGTGCATTGGAATGGTAGAACTGTCTGTCTGTACATGCATATGTAGTTGGGTATGGTAGTATGTATATATATATAATGTATGCCTTGTGCACTTTGGGAGGACAGATCAATAAAATCGGCGGTGAGATGAGAATGGACTTTATGATGAGTCAATCGTGGAACTTCCGCTCTGATCCCTTGTTTAGCTTTCTAAAATTAAGCAGTTCCGTCGCCGGCGCGACCATAAAAATAATAACAAGAAGAGAAAGAATAAGAACGAACAATAAAATGACTTCCACCAGCGCCATTCATATATATATATATACATACTGACACACGCACATATAGCCGAGCCAGACATAAATGCATATTTTTCCTTCTTGGATTTCCTGAGTAAGAGGGTATTATCGGCGGACAAAGAGGAAAAGGCGCGTGACTCATATAGACCCGGCTATCTTTAGACCTCCAACCCCAAAGGAAAGGAGTCCCTCCTTGTTTCCTACAAACTTTTTATTCCTTCATTTGGGGACCCTCATTTTTGTCGCTGGGCGAGGGTGGCTCAAATACGCATTCTTTAATTGCAATTAAATCCTCCCCTTCGTTTTCATTTATTTTTCCCTTCAAATCCAATTGAATTTTCTATAACGATAATCTTGCTTTCCATTAATTATTTCAACTTTGAATCCATTGCATGTTTTCATTTTTAAAATTTCAATATCATTTTACAAAATAAACGAATTGAATTCCAGTTTGTGTTATTCATTATTTACTGGTATTGAATTCTATTTGTATTGTTTTTGTTAGTTTCAATTATAAAGCCGGATAAACTTCCATTTTGAATATTTCAACAGCAAACGAAACCCGTTCTCTCCTCTCCTCTCCTCTCCATCCATGATCGAGCAATAAAATATTTAAGGGTGATGTACATTCCCGTCAACTGTTTCCAATGAAAACTTAATGATTGTAATTAGAGCGCGACGCATTCATTGTTTGTGCAGCTCACGTCAATTTCAATTATTTACCGCTGAATTTTCAGTACACAATTAACCTTGAACTTCGTCCAATCAATATCGCATATAAATATTTCAAACGCTTTGTTTAATCCCAACCAATTTATTTTATTGCAATAGTTGCACAATATACAACAAATAAACTATTATTCATTTACAAAATAACAAAATTTCGTTTCAATATTTATGATATTAAACATAAATATTGAAACATTTTTTTAAGTCTATTAAGATTTATGAAATATTTTGCGTTATTATAAAATTACATTTTTATTTAACTTCAAGATTGATTGTAAGAAGATTAAAGTTCTCGTTTATTACAGAAAAATAAATATATTTAACATTTTCGTTATGACCTCTTTGCTCCAATTGCTATACATGTCAAATGCTAAGTGTTTCTGAGCACAATCGTCGTTTCTTTACTTTTTGTTTTCTTCTCGTGCGAGCGTTACGTAATTCGAAACTGTTGTCTGCGTTGTGCTTTTACCACAAATATGATTCAACAATTATATTCAAATACGTGCTTAATGCAATCGAAAAATGCATGTAAAAATTAAATTTTGATCAATGACGAATTTCCCATTGAAATATTGTTGTAATAGAAAAAAAAAAGAATCTCATGCGTTATTATTTGTAATAATTTGAATTGTATTTACAAACACGTCTTTCGATTGTCTTAAAGCATGTATGTAACTAGGTTGAAGTCTGAACTCAATTTAAATACATCTTCTTAATAGAAATATATTTTTTTTAACAAAATGAATTATTCATTTGGAAGTTGAAGTTTTAGAAAAAAAAACCCTGTTATTATGTGGAAGGATTTTTGTAAAGAAATGACGAGGGTGAAAGTAGGATTTTTTGTGGTAATTTTCCATTTACACCTGGTCCGGACCTTTTTCTTGATGTTAGGATAAAAGTCGCCATCTTGTTCAATCCCTTAGATTATAGAATTCTTGGACAATGTCCAAAGTCCACAAAAGTACAAGCTTTTTCAATGCAGCTAATTTATTTTTTCAATACTATTTCTCAGAAATCCATTAGTTTATTACATAAATACAAATTACGTGTTGTGAGTTTCAATTATAAATAACAATGAATTATGTAGTGGAGTAAATACAATACGGAATGGAAATTGGTTTTGCTATACAGATGATGGATAAAAATGTAACTGTTATTGCTGCTTGTATTTTGTATTAAATTGGATGAAAGCCAAGCAATTTGCATCTGACATTATTTATGTTCATGGACTACATCAAGAAAATAAAAGCAATAATACAATGCATTTAGGTTTGCTACATTCGAAGAGCAGAGAAACAATACGCAGTATAAAGACTATTATTGTTAAACCCGAAAAACATGAGATTAATTCAATAACAATTGCTTAAATATAAACAACTATTAGTATTTAGTAAACAAAATAAAACATATATTATTAATTTAGAAATAAATCAAATTTGGAAAAAGCAGAGATTAAAATAAATCATGAATTAAAGGCAAATTTTACATTATTAATAAAACCAAAGATTATTGAATTGATTTGAATTATTTCAGTTTTTTATTGAAATTTTTCACCGGTTCACCGACCTGAACAGTTGCATTTCGCTACGGTTTTCCATAAATGTTCGATTTTTAATTAACAAAAAAATTGCATATTGCGGACGTAAATTGCCACGTCAATATTAATTAATATCCTGAAAGCATTTCCATGCTTCAGTCAAAAACTGCGAAAATAAAACTAAAATCGAACGTTGGGAATTCGTCGAAAACGTCCATTAATCATGATAATTTGTTGAAATCGTCACAATGAAATAGTTTTAAGCTTTATTTAATTATTTCATCAACTGTGTTTATTTACCAATTAAGTTTATTGCACGGCATAGAAATCTAGTTAAACAGTTCAAAACTTGAAAGTAGACATTTCCGAACGAATGCTTGGACTAATATACTTTTCTGTTTATTAATTGCGATAATTAATTTATTCAGGTAGATGTAATTTTTTTTTTATAAAATCTTAATGGAAATTCTGGTGAATTCATCGACCCTAGACTGTTCTTTCTTATTGATTCTCTGTTAATTATTGTTGTTGTTTTAATTGGAGTTTAGTGTAAACGTCTGTGAAATTGAGTACGAAAATATCTTCATTATTTTAATGCGTCCTCCGTTCCAAGAACGAAGCACATAATTTATTCAAAGTGTTATTATTCCGGTCTTAATGAACGCTAAGTACACCTTTTCAACTGCGAGAAATAATATTTGTTTGGGATAAAGAGAGAAAAAAAAAGGACATCCACCTGGACCGTCTGCATTCCATGCTGGTGTTACGTAAACGCCACCACCACTAAATCTAATTTTGCACCTATAAATAATGCCGCTTCCGACGTTATCAGCAATCGGTTTTCTATATTTAACGTTTGTATTAAAGGCTCATTCATGACTGTCCGAAGCCAATAAGTTATCGCTCGTTCTCCTCCATTCATTCCCGATATCGCTGGACCGAAACTTCCGACATGTGTCTCTTTATCTGAACGCAATAATGCAACATTGTTGTCGTAATTACAACATAGTTCAAAAAACCGAAAGGTTTGTTAATAAAATCCACGTTTGTAATTGGGATTATTTCAAAGCTGTTGCATATAAATTGCAGCGAAGAAAGTTGGTACGGAGGAAGTGGACACGGCGCCGCCATTAATTACTTGTCCCAGGTGAAACCCGATGCCTTCCACGTAATGAGACTTTACATAACGTAATCCCTCCCTCAAGCTAATTAATAACATTCCTAATTAATTACATTTCCTAATGCTGCAAGATTTCGATTTTCTTTTAACCGCCTCAAAGATTTATTTGAAGAAAAAAAAAACGCACAATAAGAGTAAAAGAAAAATCCTTTCATGTTTGTATTGTGTAAAAAAAAAGGTACAAAGCATTCCGGTTTCAACAAAAGGCTAGGGTGGAAGAATGCGGGGGCGAACATTGGAGAATAGAAAACGCAGCCGTTTTGAAATGATAATAGTAAATCTCTTTGAAATTCCTTTTTTTTCCGACAACTTGAAATTGTTATAAAATAAAAAGAAAAATGTAGTAATTCGATTCTACAATGAGTCGCCTTTCTTCTTTTGTTTTTTTTTTCGTGCGTTGATTTAATTGCGAAAGGGATTTGTTTGAAACGGAAAAGTTCATTTCGGGGATTTCTTTGAAGTTCGTTGTCTGACAATTGTTTCTATTGGATTCCATTAATTCCGTTTGTGAAATTGCTTTCGTTTGTAACATGCAAGAAATGATTTGCTCGAAGCTTGAAGGAATCCGAATCTCGCATTTTCCATTATACGTATATAGTGAAACCTCGTTTAACGAATTTAATCCGTTCCAAAATTTCCGGATTTATACTCGTATAGTGAAACACATTTTCCTATATAAACTAATGTAAATTACGATAAAGCGGAAACAAAGTATGACTTGATCTCGATTTTTAATGATTTTGCTTTTCATATCTATGGTTCTTTTTATTGTTTGGCTTTTTATTCAGTTTTTTAAATTTTGAACAAAAAAAACACAAATAACATGTTTGAACATAAGTTCAACAGGAATTTTGTGATCACAAACAACACTAAGATGCAACTAGAATGACCACTAACAATAGGAACTGCTTTACAATTCACACACGGAGAAGTTTGTTTATATTACTTGTAACAATTCGTGGACTTGGTGGAGATATTTTTATACTTTTAATATTTGTTTATATAAAAAAGAATACACATAATATGTGTACACAAGGTTTAAAAATGATGTAGAAGGCTCGAAATCCGAGACTTCTCTTCTCATCGTCACTCGTTATGCGAAACGTCGCTCGTTAAGATAATTAATGAAATTTGCGAACATCCATAAGATGTTTTTTTTTGTAACTTGAATCTGAATTCCAGCAATAATTTGACAATAAAGTAATTAATATGTATATAAGATTAAGAATTTCATCAACAAATAAAATAATTAAGATTTTTATAAAAATAATTAAATTAAATAAATTTTATGTGAAATATGTTTGTTGAAATAATTCACAAATTGTACGTGTTGAGAAGTTGTTTTTTACCACTGCATTCTTCACTTTCTTATTTATTTATTTAAATAAGAAAGTGAAGAATGCAGTTGTAGTAATTCACTTGATGATGTAACGATTTAATATTTGTCTCAAAAAAAAAAACATATCCCTATAGTTTTAAAAATACAGTGGAACCTTGCTTAACGAGTATAATCAATTCCAAAATTTCCGGATTTTTACTCGTATAGTGAAACATATTCAAAAATACACATGTGTGTAAAAGTTTTAAAAATTATGTAGAAGGCGCGCAATCCGGGACTTCTTTTCTCATCATCGCTCGTTATGCGAAACATTGCTCGTTATGCGAAACATCGTTCGTTATGCGAAACATCGCTCGTTATGCGAAACATCGCTCGTTAAGCGAGTCATTTTTCTCGTTAAGCGAGGTTCCACTGTATGTCAATAATAGATTGACTTACCTCAGACATGGTCGCTGTGAGCGTCAGCGACGCTGGATGATTCTAGTTTGAAATTGTCTCTAGTCAATAGTTTGTCCACACCTAATTGAAAGAAGAAGAAAATCATATAAGTAAATTTTCTTATTGCGAAAATGTTAAGTTTTCATTGATTTACTGTAATATTTAAAGAAACAAAACCAAAAAAACGAATAAGAATACAATATTTACATTAATATTTAATCCAATTTTTAATTAAAATTACTATAATATTTAATAAAATGTTACTTACACTCGCAAAAAATTCCAGTCCCTCTGGTTGAAAGTTTGCCCATACCTAATAGAAAGATAAAGATTGGATTTGAAAAAAATATAGATTTTATATAATAAATATTTGTTTTACTTACACTCAAAAAAAAAAATACTGCAGTATCTATTTGATTATTCACACCTAATTGGAACTATAAAAAAAAATACAATGAGAATTTAAATTGGATTTACTATAAAGTGTTACTTACATTCACAAAAACAGTCGAAAGAAAGTACGTGGAATGAGAACCGCGGAAAGCATTAACCACTTGTAAAGATATCCACCTAAATGAAAAAAAAAACACGATAAATATTGCTGTAAGACAGTTTTTATTACTAATTAACGAATGTATTAATAAATAATTATAAATACAGTGGAACCGGGTCTATATCGCAAGCCCGTCAACCGAAAGACCGTCTATTGCAATCCCGACTGTATCGAAATCCCGACTATATCGAAATCCCAACCATGTCAAAATCCCGATTATATCGAAATCCCGACTACCATAAAAATGTTATTGTAGAAATTATAATATCAAAAGACACTGTCAGGATTTCGATATAGTCAGGATTTCGAACGTCGGGATTTTGAGCCAGGCGGGAATTCGAACGTCGGGATTTCGATAGATGGTTGTCGGGCTTGCGATTGCCACCGCGTGGAACCTCACTTAATGAGTTTAATCCGTTTCAAATTTTCCGAATTCAAAAATATACATAAAATTACAATTCATTTTGCTCGTTAAGCGAAATTCTCGTTATGCATTTTCACTGAGGTTTCACTGCATTTACTTAAATTAATTGCAAATTTATATTCGCGCGAAAACAACAACGAAAAGTATCTAATCCGCCATTAATGCCGATCATAAATTTCATCTAAAAAAATCTGATTGAAATGAATTGAAAGGCATTGAATTTAATGAAATAATGGTTTGTAGTTGAAATATTAAAGTAATTGTATAAATATTTACCCAGAAAATTGTCTTTATTTGCTATAAAAATCGGAAGAACACCAAGAACAACCTCACACGGTAACAGTCAAGACGGAAAAGGAGGAGTATCAGTGAACTAGGAGACAGTCCTTCTAACATTTTCCCAATCAAAGAACTTTTAAACAATGTTTTACACCAAAAACGTGTGAAAAAATATTTTAGGATTTTTGGTATCAATATTATCAAAATCTGCTTATTACTTTTCGAGATATCTTAATTAAAGTAATTTGGTCCTGTCTGACGTCACAAGTTTTTACCGCGACAGTTACGCCATCTTCTAGAAATATTAAAACTACATTAAAACATATTATTTGTTGTTATATTTTATTTATTTTTATTTCATTATGCTTTGTGATCAATTCCTTAAGTTTTAACGATATTTATATAATTATAATCCGGATATTGCAAAATTGATTTGTGTTACAACTGCAACCCACACAGCTTCACTGCTATCGAAATCAGTATGTTAAAAATTGATAAAATTTGTTTGTAATTGTAATTTATTATGAAGGTAAAAAGTCTATCAATTTTTAGTTGATGCGCAACATTTACGAATGTGATTAAGTAAAAGTGGCTACAACGTGATGATGTAATTCTATATATATGCAATTGAGGTTGAAGGTCTTGCAATGTACCCAAATGAAAAGGGTTGACGGTCATAGATAACCGGACGTTTTTAATCAAGCAATTGGCTATATAGGGATTAGGACTTAGGTACGAACCTTGAACTTAATATTATATAAATAAGTGTAATCAGTATCAACCGGGTGTTAGATAATTTGCATTAATAGATGTGATGATGCAGAGAATTGGATTGCGTAGCAGTGGTTCGGTAATAAATTAAATTTTGATATTCTATAAAAGCATGATTGTAATATTAATTATATAATGTGTCACAAATATTATTTATTTGTTGATCTCCCCTTGCGATTGAATGCTGAGATGTGAAACGGACAAAAAAAAAACGGATGAACCTTGACTTTGACTGTTGGCTATTATCGTCTAGATCTCATCCTTCTCCTGCCGCCTCCGCTCAATGCAGGATTTATATATGTTTAAGTTGTAATAACAAATCCTTCGCGCTCGTAAATTATTTCTATTTCTAGATTGGTGGATGAATTCATGCTTGTCTCTTTCGAAAATACCATCTATCTCTATAGCCTCTGCTCGGTTATCAATGTCGCTGCGTGCGATGGCGGATTATCTGTTTTAATTACATCAAGAATTCAACCCCTCGCGCTATCGATTTTAGCTTCCCCGAATATTCTCAGCGCTACCAAGAATACAGACATTTAATTTATGATTATACTGATCGTATCTCCTTTTAGAATATGAAACGTCCTATGGTTGTGGACAGGTAATCAATTTGAGAGCGCCTGTTTTCACAATCCATTAATTGAAGCTGAAGACGCACAAGCTTTACATTGGCGAATAAAGTTGGAAACGCTTTTTATAGCTCGCCTATTTATAGCGAGATGCGCATATAAATTTATTAATTTCACGGTGAACAATTTCCTGATTCCCGTCGTTTGTTACAGATATCCGTCTGCAATTGAACGATCAGCTGAGATGCCTCGATCTAAGGATGGAAGCTCAGGTGGCTTTGGTCACAGAGCTACAGGACTTCTTTAGACGTAGGGGTGAACTCGAGCTAGACTATTCCAAGAATTTGGATAAGCTAGCCAAGAGCCTTCAGTTAAGGCATAAAGAACAGAAACAGAAGTAAGAGCGCCGACAATTTTTAGTTGGACTATGTTAATTTTATATTTTTTCCCAAGGAGGGAACAATGGCCATTATTCTCGAGCTATGCTTGTTGGCAGCAGCTAGTGACCCAGACAAGAAATTTGAGTCGGGACCATGTTGCTCTTTCAGAAGTGTATTCAACGCATTTAGTATCACGTTTGGCCCAAGTTATGGAAGACGTCCAAAGGATATACAAGAGGGTACAGACGCGCACCAAATAAATAATCTATTCAAATAAATTATACAAGAAAATCATGGGTCTTTCAGTGTCGCGAGATTGGGTACGAGATGCACGAGGAAATACTAAGGGTGCTGCACGAGTTACACACTACTATGAAAACATATCACAGCTACCAGGGTGAACTGCGTCAGGCAGAAACTAAACTCCGCTCGGCTGAGATGCAGAAGACCAAATTCGAGCAGTCTCTCGCCCAAGACAAGCTGGACAAGTCCAAGAAGTATAAGGTGACCAGTAAGGAAGTGCTGAAGGTAAATGATATACCAATTTGAAAGAGCGCGCGCTCAGTTTGTCCTTCAGAACGCACTTACTGAAATCAGGCACGCTCCCGTCATCCGTTTCCGCCTACGGCGTCGCGCTCTTTTTTCGAATACAAATTAACACCAGTGTGCATATTCTCTTCGTTTCCAGCGCAAAAACAAATATACCGATTCGAAGCTCAAAGCACTCAAAGCGCGGAACGAATACATCTTGTGCTTGGAAGCCTCGAACACGACTATCCACAAGTACTTCGTGGATGATTTATCCGATCTCATCGACGTAATATTGAAAGTTAATTCTCGTTTCGTAGAACTATATAGGTCTTTTTTTTTTCATTTTAGTGCATGGATTTTGGTTTTCATAATTGCATATCTAGGGCGCTTCTTATGCACGTTTCCGCTGAAGAAGGTAGACAGCGTTCGGTTCAGAGCGGCATGGATGCTCTATCATCTTGCATTAATTCGCTGGACTCGCGCTTGGATAAGCAGAAATTCCTCGAGTACAACCACAGCGCATTCATGATACCGAAGAAGTTGGAATTCCAAGGCCAGAAGCACGAGGAAGTAAGTTCGCATATTTCGTATACAGTTCGAGTTCACGATCGTACAATCTTTAGCAATTGGAGCCGGAAATAAGCAAGGTGTTGCATCAGGAGATGGAAAGTCGCCTGAAGCAGTTGCAGCAGCGCGTGACCTCTTTGCGTGCAGAATCCGAGGAGGTCTGGAAGACTTTGGAGACAGCTGAATCAACACTTCTGGAGATGCTGAATGCAAAGGACTACGATTGTACCGGTTATTTCGGAGAGAGTGCGGTCGCCATTAGCAAGCCGCTGGAAACAGCTGTGATCAAGCTGAGGGCCGATAAGCAGGAGACTGAAGAATTTTATGTGACTGTAATCATTTGCTTGATAACAAAACTGCTGAATCTCATTCTTCGTTTTCGTTTCAGAAATTAAGAGAATATTTTATAGCCTCAACGAAGATTGCTCGATTGGATGCTAAGCAAGAGTACATCCGGCACGTGTTGAAAACTGATAACTCCGATTGTAACAGCACTCTTAAGTCGGCTGCAAAAACGCCGCGTCGCAAACGCATAGGTCGTTACCAGATGAACGGGCAACCTAAGCTATTTGGAGGGTCCCTTGAGGAATATCTGGAAGCCACCAACCAAGAAATACCACTGATCATAAAATCTTGCATAAGAGTAATTAATTTATATGGTAAATATACGCGTGCTAAGCAGCTGTTTACATGAGCGGCAAACGATCCTTTGAGCTTGGTTCATTAATCTGAGGTGCAATGTTTATGCAGGTTTACATCATCAAGGTATATTCAGGGTGTCCGGATCTCAGGTGGAAATCAACAACTTCAGGGAATGCTTCGAGCGCGGCGAAGATCCTCTGGCCGACATGACCGATGCTTCGGATATAAACAGTGTGGCCGGCGTTTTGAAATTATACTTGCGCGAGTTGCGAGAGCCTCTGTTCCCAATCATTTACTTCGAGCAGTTTATGGATTTAGCACGTACATTATGCAATTCCTAAAACATCCGCCCACACCAAACTCATTTCTTACTATTTTTCAGAATTAGAATCCAAAGACGAGTTTATCGAGAAGATGCGAGAGTTAATCCAAAGCTTGCCCAGACCAGTTATGGTTGTGATGAGATATTTGTTTGCGTTCCTTAATCAGTGAGTTTCTTAAAATAAAACAAACAACGATCGTTCGATATATCTCAAATGCGTGCATTTTAGTCTGTCCGAGTTTCACGATGAGAACATGATGGATCCATACAACTTGGCCATCTGTTTCGGGCCAACTCTAGTTCCTGTTCCTGAAGATAAAGATCAAGTTCAGTATCAGAATCAAGTGAATGAACTGATCAAGAATATTATTAAATATAATGAAGATATATTTCCTAATGATGGAGGCTGTGTTTATGAAAAATTTATTTCGCCTGAACCTGATGATCAGTAAGTTTCTTTTGAGAAAGCAATGAGATGATATTTTTAATTTGCAGAAATGTTTACAGTGATGTAGGTGATTCGCCTTCGGAGCAAGGGCCCGAGGATATCGACTCCGAGGTTTACCCATCCGAAGATGGTAAATTGTTTGCATGTTGCGATTGCTGGGAAAAGGTAATAAAACCCGTTCCTTTCGTAGATTCGGAATGCATGGAGGCTACCGCACAGTTCGATTTTATTGCCAGATCCGATAGAGAATTGTCTTTGAAGAAAGGAGATACGGTAACTTTATATGCTCAGGTTTCGAATGACTGGTGGAGAGGTGCTGTGAATGGAAACGAAGGCCTAATACCAGATAAATATATCCTTCTAAAAATGAAGTAAGTCCTCGCTACTAATATATAACGTTACGTAATATCAAATTCGTTTGCATCTGAAGGGACGATGACCGCGATAAGATGGAGAACTTGAAGTCGAGCTCTTCGGAGGAGTCCATGCGGCGAAGGGCTTCCAGTTCCAACGACTCTATGCTCTCGGAAAGCTCGGTATCCGTCACGAATTCGCCGCTGGTCCAGTGCACTCCGATTACCTGGACTACAGTTTCTGATATGTCAGACACGGCCCAGCCCAAAAACTCGTCTCCTGTCCTTTTGACTCAACCCAGAGAGGTATTAGAAACTACAGTATAATTGCTAGTGTCATGATTATTATTTTTTCTCCTGTCCGCCTTTCCCAACCAAGAATCTCCGTCACTATTTCTCTGCTCTTCACCACACTTAAGAATGTATTTAGCTTAAAAAATTTGACATCGAAAGTTTATGATCTCATTTGTGATTTAAGTGCATCGAAAATTATGAGCCCATTCTTGCTTTTGAGTTAGTATTTTTTTTTATGCATGTTACGAAACCGCATCGTTCTATTTTAAGAGAGAAAGGAGAGACACATGTATTTTTTTCAGTTGTCATGTGCATGTCTGCATGATGTGATAAAGCTTTAAAAAAAAAAGTTAGGATACATGTAAGTTTATTATTATTAGTTTTTATTTACTCGAAGAATAGCAATATATTTTTTTATTATTATTTTATATACATATATAAATACTAGTTTATATATTTGTTAAATGTAAATATTTCAGTCAAGAGTTCAAGGTTTCAGGTCTCTTTTCAATAATTTTTTATTTTCAATTTAATTTTGTATCTTTTAAAGTTTTGTTTTCAATTATTAATTATCTGTGTGTGCATGCATTGCTTGTAACGGCATTTGTAGCACTTCCCACCCCCCTATTTATTTATTTTAACAAATAAATGTTTTTTTTTTCTTTTATTTATTTTTGTTGTCAATTCAGTGTACACTCTTAGCCTTCCTTTGTCACGAAGTGTTGTTTATTTCGCATGACCTGTTGGACAACATTGCATTTTGGCGAGTATTAGAACAATTAATCAATAATAACATTTTTAGAACTTAATTTCGCTTCAGCCAAAATGGAATGTCGCAAGAAAGTTGTTTTGTTGTTTTTGTTTGTATTAAGAAATTTTGTAGTTTTAATTAATTATATTTATTTTTTTTTTCACGTTGATTTTTTTTTTGTTGATTTCATAGTACATTTGCTAGACTACAGTTCAAGACTACATTATTTTAAAGGTGAGCACTTTTGTTGCATGTTGATCGGTGTAAATTAAATCAAGTTTAAAGTAATTTCAAGTGAAGTATTAATAATCATTTATTTATTTCATTAATTAATGATTACATTTTGGAGCTGCATGCTTTTGTGTTTTCAGGCGAGATGGGTGGAATATTTTTTAATTGCTTTTAGATCTATAAATTATATGCTCTCTTTTTCTTTCAGTTTGCTTTGCTAATTGATTTAGAATAGTTTCTGATTTAGCTGTGATGTTTGTTTCAGAACGCCGGGCATGTGCACAGCAAATCTCTGGACATGTCTTTCGATTCACAAGTAAATAGTAAAGTTCAGGAGGAGGCAGTCATTTCGCATCGCACAACAATAAACATAAATCAGAGTCCGCAAAGTATATTAGTTAACGGAAGTCCCTTGACGAAGAAGCCGGAGTTGGCGGATAAAGCTGAGAGTTCTGTGGATCTGAGAACGAAAGAGGTAGAGTCTAATGTGGAAGGATCGAATGTAAACTTTAACCAGAACCGAGAGCAGTGGCAGCGCAGGGCTAATTCGCAATCGCATATTAAGGTTAATTCATTAACGAAACCTAATAGGAATTCGGATAATTGGGCGAGGCAGAACCACACGCCTGATCTGGTGATGGATCTTCCATTGGTAGGTAATTCAAGTCCGAAGGATTTAACCAAGAAACCCATGTCTGTGGCGTACGGTAGCGGCGGTGAAGAAGATGCTACATTCTTGAAGTCTCTTGAAAGTCCTTCAGGCCCGGAGAGTCCTGACATGCAGACGGCGGCCGAGAGGTTCGCCAAGCAAAACCAGTGCACCCTGAAGAAGAATACCAAGGTGCATATAGACACCTCAGCCAATGTGGATGTTCCTAAACCAATATCCGACTTAGTTGCCATCACCAGTCCAGCGCCGGACAGGAAACTTATACCGCAAATAGTAACCACAAATAGTACATTTAAGCCTCAGATTAAGGCCAAGCCCGCCGTGCTCAAGAAACCAGTATTCTCCGGAGTTAATCAAACGCCAGACGTGAATCGCAACAAAGATTCTGACCTTAGCACCTAGGTTTTTATAGAAGGGATCTAGAGATGAAGCAAACCTCTATTTTTTATCTTATGTTTTTAACCAATATTTATATATATATATGAACACATAAACACACATATACATTATCTGTTTATTATTATTATTCATATTTGATGATGCTTCCGAATTGAAGCGATATCAAAATAGTTAAAGATGCGTGTATTCATTCACAGATGGTTATAACTCTTTACCGGTATACTCGAAGCTCAGATTCCAACAATTGAATCTTTATTATTCTGACTAATATATATATAGACACCATAAATATAAGAAATGATACAAATATATATATATTTAATATACGATGTAATATTGCATGTGATTGTAATTAACCAAAGTAATCTTATAACAAAAAAAAAACTAATAATACTTCTTTTATATATATATATACATATAATGATTATGCAATTTGTGTAAGACTTCTATGTCGCGATCGTTATGTCACGGAAACGACCGGATGTTGTCTAACTTTGAATCAATTATTTTATTATTCATATTCTTGAATTGTCTCTAGTTGTTGAATGATGTTGTATTTGTTTTTAAATTTAAATATTTCTCTATTTTTTTTGCAAAGATCAATTGATCGTTGCCAGTACTCCCCATATACTAAAATTTGTAGTGAAATGAAACCTAAAGAAGTGAAGCGAAGCTCTGAACGAACGATTATGGATATTACACCTCACAAAACACACACACAAATTGTATTCGTAGTTATTTTTTAAAATATGAGACTGATCTACTTTTTGAAAATTTGAAACGAATATTCTGTAGGCGATAAATTATTTCTCTAATTATTAATATAATAAATGGACAAAAAAAAATAGATAAGAGGAAGAAGGAGACGAAGCGTTATGTAATTTGCGTAAATGTATTGCGTACGGCGGAGGTCCTTCGTCGCGCGCGCGGGAAGTCCTAACATTCGCGAATGACGTACTTAGATACAGGGTGATATAACACTGACGGTTTGATATGAAACATATTCTAAATATCGTGGACACCAAATATATATAGATATATACATATACATTATACATATAAGCATATATATATATATTCACTTTTAGTTTTCTACTTCAGATTTACATTTTTGCTCAAGAATTTATCAGCAACAAAATGATGATGAAACAACAAAAAAAAAACAAGAATTATTAATGATAACAAGTAGATTGCGTATAAACTATAAGCAGTCCTATAACGAAAAATATATTGTTTCTGATATAGGGTTCTACCATTTACACTGAAAAAAATAATACTGATCTAGAAAGTGATCCCTATTTGTATATCCTCTCCAATATAAATATAGGTATATTTTATAATCTCCCTTGCCTTGAATAGTTTTAAGCCATGTTATAAAGGAATGATATATAAAAAAAACAAGTAAGAAAGAAACTACAGTTCTCAAAACACTCCCTCCTTGAACTTTTCCACCCTATATATAAATAAATATAGATATTATAAGTATTATAAATGGTGAAATCGAATAGCACACTTTTATTATTGTAATACATCTTTGCAAAGTGCTGTGCAAACTTTCAATATTTATCATATACTATTATTATTATAAACAAAACTATAAAGTTACTACAATTATAAAACAAATATATATGTGACGTGCCGTTTCTTTTGATTTATTCCTTTCATTCTATTGAAAATTTTCACAGGTTGATAATTAAATAAAGGTAAATATAAGTAAATTTATTTTTTCATCTTATTTCTGTCAATACAAATCCTCATAATTTAAAAAATACTACTAAATTTAATCAATATTTTATTTCAATAAATATGAAAAACTTAATAAATTTTACTGAAGTAAATTAAAACCTTGCATCTTTATTGTTAATATAATATAATAGTTTTTTTTTTTAATATCAATAAAATCTCGATGAAATCAACAAATAAAACAATAAAATTAGATTATGAAATATTTTAGATTTAACAAATATTTAATTAATTTAAATTTCAAGATTAAGTAACAGAAAACTACTTTAAAATCAATAATTACCATACTAATTATTATCAATAATTATTGATTAAAAAATGTAGATACCTGCATTTGTTTAACTATAGAATTTGTGGAAATGTAAATATTAGATAATGAATGTTTGTATTTATAATAAAAAAAAATGATTAAAATGATTCGAATTTAAATAATTAATTAGAAAAAAAAATTAAATATATGTCGAATCGTCACGTTTGCTCTCGTGTATTGAGAAGTTATTGTTACAATCAACCACCAACAATATTCCAATAATCTCAGTAGAACACAAAATATCGTCCAGCAATCTCAGGGCTAGTGATCCAAGTCAGCTTTGTTTCACAGCATCTATGGCGATCCAGTTCCCTCCGTCTCCATCTCTTAATCTCAATGCTCTCTATCTGAATGCCAATCAATCCCCGCTGATCAACCGGCTGAAGTGTTCCACTCCCACTTGTCCGCGAAATACCCTTACACCCTAAAGTCTCCGAAGATGTGATCATCATGCAAAGATATTCGTCCTCTCCCCAAAGTGCTGACAATGATATTTGACCAGATGAGTTTGTTTACACACTCCAGCGTGGATGGTTCTTTGGTCAGGTGTTTTTTTTATTTGTTTATAAGGCATCGACAGCTTAGGTCATTAGCCTCTATCACAATCATAAAGGAGTCATACAAAATAAAGCAACAAGTAAGTTAAAGTAAATAAATTAAATTGGTTTGGAAAATCTCGACAACCCCTTAAGATAATTACATCATCGACAACTCATATGAAAGCTGAATATCTCACCTTTCCAACGAGCCTATTGGCATCTTTGTGTTTTTATCGAGTCGCCTGCTATGAGCGGTAGAACATTTTTTTCGTATTTTTTTTCAGTTTTAACAGTTTTTCGTGAAAATCTCGACAACCCCTTAAGATAATTACATCATCGACAACTCATGTGAAAGCTGAATATTTCAACTTTCCAACAAGCCTACATACACCTTAGTGCTGTCACCGAGTCGCCTGCTATGAGCTGTAGAAATTGAAGAAAAAAACACATACTTAACGTTTTATACGTAACAGAGAAACGACGGTTTTCTCGTTTTTTTTATATGTCTTTTCGGTTTTTCATGAACCCGCTGTCGGTTTCCAACCTATTTCATACAGAATATGCTACGGATCTCGTTTTGATCCACTAGATTTACCATACGCTGGTTTATCTATGGGATTAACATTCAATTCTATATTCAAAATCTATCAAATTCATCAGTTATACACTTGTTTTGCTTATTACATTCTTACACAATTAGTGTATTTTAATGACGAACCAGTGGATAAAATACTGTCGGGATTTTCATAATGTCGGTATTTTGATACTGTAGGAATTTCAAATATTTGATTTTCAGGATTTCGATACAGACTTCTTTATCAACGTAGGTGTTAATTTTAATGTACTGTTAATAGATGGAGTAACTTGTACCAATAAAAAGTACTTTTGTAAACTTTTCAAAAATTATTTTAAAAATTTTTCTATAATGTACTAATAATTAATATATTTTTTTAATTATATTATTTTATTATAAAATTTAAACCATTATAATAATTTATTAATAAAAATTGTTTTTTAAGTTACAAAAAAGTTTAATATTAATTAATAATGTTTATGAAAATAATCTATTGGAAATAAAATATTTAAAAAAAATATAGTGCAAATTGTATATTGAAGTATTTTTTAGATAATTTCTATATTAATTGCATAATAATCTTTAGTATTAATTTATTATTAATATGTTTAAAATCATATTAGAAAAAAAGTTTATGTAAAAAATATTTTATGGAATATGTATAAAAATGTAAGTAATGAAATAAATTTATTGGAAAGATAAGGTAAATTATAATTGATACATTGTGTAATTATGAATAATTAATAAATAGGAATAAAAGTGTAGTTTAAATAAAGTGAAATTATCTAATGTTTTTTTTAGTGGGTGTAGAATGTTTGTAGGTCAGAAGAATTAAAATTAATCCAAAATAGAGAAACTAAAGCGCATCTGTACAATATTTCATTCATAAAATATATAGAGATCAAAATGTGTTCCGATGAACGGGCAAGAATGAAAGCGTGAGGACAGCAGGACAAATAAAATAAGGCACGCATCGATCGAAAGAGATTTATGAATGGGGTTGTAAATTCAGTTCCGTTCGTTTTCGCCGGAGGGCGTAGTAGTTCCATTACCGGCGGAAAGTTTCGAAATCCATCTGAGGGTTGAAGGCTCGTACTAAATCCTGGCTGCGGCTTGCGCATTGTGCTGCAGGATTCTGTGCGGCGTTGATCCTTGTTATGCAAAAAAAAACCCTTTCGGGATTTGAATTTCGGCAGGACCTAGAGGCACGTATCGACTTAGAAGCTATGAAAAAAAAAAGGAAATTCACGGGGAGAAACTCCTAAATCCCACGCGCACATAGTCGATTATAATGAATAGGAAAAGCTGGAAGCACTATTATGTTTCTGCTCCTTGTAATGCGGTGATGAAAGGGAATTTGTGAATGGTAAGGCATAAATTAGTTGAATGGAATTAAAGAGAACTCTTGTATTTTTCTTTACAGACTTCTGAAGAGCTGCGCGGATTATGGATGATGGTGATCTTGATGATGGCACAGCGTTGGTTGGATAGATCCTCTTTAATCTTGAACTGTTATTCCTGACGCCTCCTGATTCCAAACCAAATAAGTTTTATCTACTTTAATCAATATTTCTACACGCGGATTCCTAATCCAGCAGCCAAAGTTTTTATCTCCAAGATTAATTATGTTGCGCCAGGCCGGATAATCATCTACCCTAAGATGTTTAAGCCGAACTTGGATCCAAACTAATGTCTACATAAAACTTAATTCCCCACACTTATCAAATAATAAAACAATTAAATAAAATATTCATTTTTTTTTAACCAAAATCTTTATATTTAATATTTTATGACAACAAAATTGTATTCTTCAAAAACGTTATAGTTTTAGGAAACTGTAGTTCAACATGTAACAGTAATGACGCATAACTCATTTGTAACGATTCATGTCAAATTCGCGTGTTCACTTAAATATCATTTTCTTTATATTTTTATCATTATTTA